CTCCGTCACTCTTTAACCTCTACACAAGCGATCTACCGCAAATAACCTCCAGAAAGTTTGTCTACGCAGACGACATTGCGCTCGCGTCGCAGGGTGCCGCACTCTCCGCCATCGGCGACACCCTCACCACTGACCTGGACACTTTAACGAAGTACTTCCAAAGATGGAGACTACGCCTAAACCCGACGAAAACATCAGTCACCGAATTCCATCTCGACAACCGCGCCTCTAAAGAGACTCTTCCTGTCTCCTTCTGCGGCCATCCAGTAAATAATGAGGCCAAGCCAAAATATCTAGGCGCTACTCTGGACCGCATACTCACCTTCAGACCCCACCTCGAAAGGACACGCGAAAAAGTGAATTCTAGGGTCAGCGTCGTGCGCAAACTAGCGGGAACCTCGTGGGGTGCCGGGGCGCGCACACTACGAACAGCGTCACTAGCACTGGTTTACTCGCCTGCAAAATACTGTGCTCCTGTTTGGTCGAGCAGTGCACACACCAAGGGCTTGGACGCCCAACTCAACGCATCGATGCATCTGATTTCGGGGACTCTAGAATCCACCCCTGTTGAATGGCTACCAACGCTCTCCCGAATTCCACCTCCCAACATCCGCAGAGACGCGCGGACATCACGCATCTTTAGCCGAATAAAAGCCAACCCTGATCTTCCAATTAATGAGGAAAATCCGCCGAGGACCCGGCTAAAATCCCGGAACCCGCCCTGGGTCAGAGCTATTGCTCTCGACGCGTCCTCCTTTGACCTGGAGGAACAGTGGAAAGCCATGTGGGTCAAAGCCATCGTCCCCAATAAAAAGCTCGTGTCTGATCCCACCACAGAAGTTGCTGGCTTCGACCTGACAAGAAAGCAGTGGACCATGCTAAACCGCATCCGCACCTCGCACGGCCGTTGTGCCCATCTCTTGCACCGGTGGAAAATCAAGGCCACCCCCAGATGTGACTGCAGTTTCGAAGACCAAACCATCCAGTACATTATCCATCAGTGCCCACTCCGATCATTCGTAGGAACCTTGGACGATATCCATGAGCATACTTCAACAGCCTCCAATTGGATCTTCAACCTTGACATGAGCTTATAAATGTTGCTGATTAATCCCCCCGCCATGCGCAAGAAGAAGTGTAATGTGAGGGAGCAGTGATAAAGTTATATTTGTAACGTAATATAGGCTTCGCAATCGCAAAATAATAGAAACGGAAGACACTCATCATTGTCGACTTAGAACTTTTTTCTTTTTAGCCCGTTTTTCTTAAAGAAGTGATGAAAAGAGGCGAGAAATTCTCGAGAACGGAAGGTCCATACCAGATCTCCAAATTTTGCGAAAGACGGAGCCGAAAGCTCGTGCTTTCGGTAAGGTCTGGCACAAAAACTTGAGAAATGCAGAGAGGGACAATTCAGAGACACTTGGTCTGGAACCGAACCAATGGCAGTTGATGGAATTAAAATTCTTCGTTTATGTCAATCGGGAAAATAACTTCCAAAAAATAATGAATAAGAGCATGACTGACAACTTAAAAAATGAATATTTAAGAAGCAATTCAGAGAAATGACAGTTGCAGGAAAGAAGGGAATAAACATATCGAACTCCAGAAGCTCACGACTCGACGAACGAAAGGTTGCAATAAGAAGCGATGATGAAGGAGAAAAAAAAAACGAACAATTCGGTAACAAGCCTCCAACAGACGAAGCCCAACAACATGCTGAAGTGGCAGAGCCAAGATTGCCAGGACTGCTTTCCCGGCGACATGTAAAGGAACGATTCTTTCAGCTCAGATTCGACTTATCTCGAGAGAACTAGATTCGCTTAGGGCGCCCTCTACACTTGGCAGTCAGAGCGCTCCACTGCGTTCAGTAGGGCAAAACCACCAATGTTCGGACAGTTAAACTGGCCGAGCCTCATCATTCGCTCGTCCCATCTCAACGGTACAAGCTGGAAGTTTCATTTTTTGCTCCTGGAAGCACAATACTAGGAAGTCTGAGTACTGTAAAGATGTTGTCCTTGCCTAATGACTTATGTCCCTTAGGACTACCGATATTGCCTATAATGTGGATGTCCGAACTTAAATGCTGAAAAAATTAAGTTCGGACACCCCCGTTTTAAAGTCTCAAAGAGGCTTGAAACACTTCATTTTGACGCGAAGGAATGATAACCCGTTCGCAAAGTATTGGATCTTTCCTCTATTTTCTAGTACAGGATGAACGTGATTGAGTGAGTGAGTGACTTTAATTCTAACCTTGTTTTAGATGAGATTGAAAGTTAGAACTTGGTAGGTCTAAACGAATAACTCTGATGATACGGATTTCAGGCACTTGTATTTGAGAGAGACGTATCTCCATAAATTTCTTTGCTCCAATGAAACGGAGAGACAAAGAAACTGAGACGTGGTGCATCGGTACCTATTGAGGTGCAGATATCAGAGGGGAAAAAGCGACTTTTAAGGATTCGTTCCGAGGGGCATATTTTTGGGGTGGACCTTTCCCCCCCAAAATTATTTTGTTCCAGGGAATCATGGAGACAAAGGCTGAAACCTTACTAATTAGGTACATGCTGGTATGCAGTCATAAGGGGAAATCCTGCTTCTGGGAAATATCTTCTGGGGGTACATTTGGGGGGAGCCATACTTTGAAATATGTTTTGCTACATTGAATTGGGCGGTGAAGGATATAGAAACCTGGAATTTCGTACGTAGGTTGTTCTCCAATCGCTAATTTCTAAAAAGCCTACCCTTGCGGATAATCCCTTGGGTGCCCATTATTCATTAGGGTCATGTTGTCGGAAATTATTTTTAAGCAGAACGGATTGGCACAGTTTGTTACATTCAGTAGACAAGTACTCTGCATGCTTAATTCAGAAAACATCCAACTTGAGGGACACATCTCCGCTCAGAACTTTGAGGTACAGCTCCTAGAAGAAAATGTATCCAGCAGACGTGTTCATTGTAAGCAATGTGGCCTTCCACAAGGACATCTCACCCGAATTAAAGTCTTGATGGCCTTTTCAACACCCTCGGATCGATAATTCCTTACATTCCAACCTCCTACCACTTCTCTGGAGGCACGCCGCACACTTGAGGGTGCGAATAAATATATGAAGCTGTATTTTTTCCTATGTGTCGACGGTGTCCGAAGTTATATGTCCCGCTATGAAAGCTCGAACAGAGCTCAAAAATACATTGTTGTTCTCTGTTCTCTGTAAAGCATGACTCAACTGAGCTTTTGTCAACTCTAAACGTTCTTTACCTCAAGAAGACGTCATATTTCCGCAGATATGAATGTATGTCCGAACTTAAGTTTCGCAAACATTTCTTGACCTTAAAAGTTCTTTAAAAGTTCAGATACACCGAAAATAAGACAATAATCTGATCAATGCACGTGCATTCTGCCAGGACTTCATGTCCTCTTAGTTTCCTGGGAAGTAAGAATTGAGCACAGAAAACAAAGAGTCACGTGTGAAACGTTTCAAAAGTAAGGTTCTCTCTTTACGGTTTCTTGAAGAATTCTTCCTGTTCCCGATAAAGCATTAGCCTAAGCTCAATATCTTGGAATCGTACTAAGTCACGATGACCACCGCTTTTCCTTGGTTCAGTAACGTGTTCATCTCATGTTAGGAAGAACCATTTCTGAAGGCAGCCCCCGCGAATGCTTAGTTTGTAACAATGTTTGCCGCAGTGTCCGAACTCAGGTACTGTCCGAACTTAGGTGGTTTTACGCGACGCACGCTAAAAAATTATTTTCCGGGTTTCCATCACGCATTTATTTTCATGGCATCCTGGGCTTAACCCAGAAGTGTAACGAGAGTCTCATTTTTCGGAGGGCCAATGAAATCTTACGAGGGCCTAAAACACCTTATGTAAGCTAGGGGGAAAGGGGGGTGGGAACCAGGACAGCCCCCTTCCCTGGCTACGTCACTGGCCTACCCTACAGCATGAACCACGAGCCGCCACTGCTGGAGATGCCTGGAGAGTGAAGTAGCCGGTCCGTATGTTCCAGACTGGCCACCATATTGTGCATTAGTTCCACCGAGGACCATGAGATGTCTCAGGTGCGTTTCGTACCCGCAGCTGCAGGTAACGTATTTCTTGGCAGTCCGCTGGACCAGACTCCCACGGCCTAATCTCATGGTGCATCCCCCAATTTCTCGAATCTCTGGGTGAAACGCCACGTCATCTAAGCATAGAAGTTCATAAATAAGGTTAAATGTTAAATTTCCTTGGTAATACGTGAATTCGTCAGTCACTTAAGGGCCGACGCTTCGTCACCGACAGTGGATAAGTATGAACCTCGCGAACCGGAATTGTTTTCGTTCATATTTTAACCCTTTTTTTCCCCATTACATAATCTGAAGAAGTGTCAAGTCTGTCATCACGGCATGCCAACTCTCTGCATCCAGTAGAAAATGGTAACGGGAAACAGGCTCGAGTTTACTCTTACACCAGAAACAATCGAAATAGCTTGCGAAAAAAGATATCCGAACAATTGCCTTTCGATCGCCATCTAGCGGCGACTTCGGACATGCCACATGACCGAAGTAAAAGCGATAGATAGGCGGGAAGTGGATACTGGGTTTTGTGCGATAACCTACATCAGAAATACGGATGATTTCGTAATCCTAGACCCATCAACTTCCCTTCACTTTCCATCTTGAAATGGACCGAATGTCTGAACATGGTCGAATCAAAACCAGCCAATGTAAGAATTTACATCTTACTGAAGACAATCGTCACCGCCAATAAGGTATAATTTGTTAAAGTTTACTTCGAACTTCCATTAAGTACGATTCGCTTTTCCTCTAATTCTTATCTCTAGCCTTGTGAGGATAACGGAATTAGATTTAATACTACCTGGTGTCGAGCATTTCCCATGAAGCATGTTGCAAGACAGGAAAATGTTAGTTTCGGGGATTCCCACCACGTATATGGGAACCTCAGCATCTGATGGTAACGTCTATCTTCGATATAAATACGTGGCAGATTACAATTGATGAGTCCACAGTTCGACTTGGGCAATGCAAAGTAAGTCTCCCCACAAGACTGCCACCATGTTCAGGCTCATTATTGCCTCCCTTCTCGTCGTCTCCTCCTATGGTATGGGTATTTTTTTCCTTCGATAAGCAGGAAGCTAGTTCTTTTTTTTTTATAAGGTAGGGTAGGCAAAATACCCAAACATTCCACTCTTACGTTCCATTACATTCATATCAGAATATATGTAAAACCAAAATAGATGTTCTAATGAGTATCATTTACAAGCAAAATATTTGTGGATTTTTTCGCATGAGATCCTTACGGCTATTCAAAACTGTTCCACTCGAGGATCGCCATGATCATGCGCCTCGAGGCCAGATTCTTTCATAAAACAATTGATGAATGAGATATCTTTCCTATGAAAGGAATCGCCTCAAAATTTCCAAATATCCACAAAAATAAATGTACTTAATGACCCCCAATGATTGTGGGGTTGTTTGCTATCATGCTGCCAAATGAAAGCTTGTCGAATCAATTTTCGCATGGTACGTGGATTTCCAATTCTTCTCGTCGAGTGTAGGGATGTATTGAAGGTGTGATTTACATGTTATATTCTTATATGTTTACTTGCTTCTTTCCATGATCAAAGCAAGATACTAGTCCGTCAGTTAATCATTTCTATAAAAGTTTCGTTGTAAATGAATAAAATGCGAACTTAAAAAATAGGGAGGGTGGTGAGGAAGCCCATGTTGGACGGGAGGATCGTCGGAGGGGAAGAAGTAGGTTTGAGGGAAATCCCTTGGCAGGTCTCACTGCAGTCCTTCGGCGACCACGTCTGCGGAGGATTTATCCTCGATGAGAAGAACGTCATCACCGCAGCCCATTGCTGCGATGCTGTCTCCACCTTCATCGTATGCATCGCCTTCATCCGAAATTATTACCCCATCCAAAAATATGCATTCCATCATCAAGCCTCCTTTTTCATAATTTTGTATTTCTTCGTGCTTCAGTAATATACAGGGTAGCCAATTTAAGCGTTTACGGTTTTGTTTGGCTATAGCTTGTGCGATTTTGACCAATTTCAATAATATTTTAATGCAAAGTAGCGGTGATCGTAGGATTTTAGTTGGCCAATTTTCATTGAGTTCTGCCATGAGGTTTTCAAGAAATTCAATTTTTACTGTAAATTAAAACTTTTGCATACGCGCGCTGATATTTAATTGAATTCTGACGCAAAGTTTTTGAGAAATTAGATTTTTTATTGCGATTCGGTCGAGATCCGCCTTCTCGTATGAGCATTATCAAGTGGCACAATGCTTTAATGGAAACTGGAAGTGTGCGAATTGCAGACAGAAAACGGCAATTAACATGGCGCTCAGAAGATGTCAACCGCATTCAAGATTTCGCTGAATCGTTCGGCTCATGTTCAGAGTATTTCCGACTCTTCAAATTGATGCATGCAGATCTCGTGCAAAATTTTCCTGAAAGCAGTTGACATCTTCTGAGTTAATCGCTGATTTCTGTCTGCAAATTGCACACTTCCAGTTTCCATTAAAGTATTGTGCCATTTGATAATGCTCATACGAGAAGGCGGATCTCGACCGAATCGCAATAAAAAATCTAATTTCTCAAAAACTTTGCGTCAGAATTAGATGAAATGTCAGCGGGCGTATGCAGAAGTTTCAAGTACAGTAAAAATTGAATTTCTTGAAAACCTCATGGCAGAACTCAATGAAAATTATCTAAGGTCAGCACTAATTTCTGTTAAAATATTATTGGAATTGGTATAAATTTACACAAGCTATTGCCAAACAAAACTGTAAATAATTAAATGGGCTACATAGTATATTTAAAAAAGCTACTGTGTGGCCAAGGAAAGGAGAAGGCACTCGCCCGAAAAGATCCTAAGCCTCAAGGCTGTCGCGCCCTTCTTTGCACTTGTCTCCTAAAGTCCTTATAACTTTGTTTCATTCTCGTTCTTGCAAGGACACTAATTCTTTCAGAAAAAGAAGGTAATGTCCCCTGCCCCGAGGGGAACTCCGGATTTCCAGCGATTTTCTCGTTCCAAGCTGGTGGTGCCCCATCGCTCAGATTTTTTTGGGGAGGGGTGGTATAATATTAAGAATACCTGAGGAAGGCTTCCACATGTCGCATGCACTGCATTGAATCCTAACTTAACACGTTCCCTGCAGCAGTAAAACCGACTGCCATTAATTATATGAGGTGCAACCCACCGATGGGTCGCTCCGCAGGGAACGTGTTAAGCAAAAGAGCGAGTCAACGAACTCTACCTCTTGGCGACGACAATAAATGAAAAAATGCAACATGAAATTCTCAATATTCAAAAACCTCAGAGCACGAATTATGAAACAATTGTGAAATGGCCAGAAAATATTATTTTTCAAAGCAAATAATAAGCGATTGTATCAATATCACGTTTTGAAAGAAGGAAAAGGAAGAAAAACAACGCTCGAGACGATTCATAAGACTGAAAATATATTTTTTTTTTGCATAGGTTGTTGCAGGAGAACACGATCTCTTCGAACCAAGTGGACATGAGGTTGAGGTCGACGTGACGAGAATGGTCAAACATGAGGCATACGACGAGTCAGTGATTGCAAAGGAATTCGAATGCCTCTCAGAACTTGTACATTGTGCATTTCAATAATATTTTACGGTTCATCGTTTCCGATACAGGTTCAAATTCACTAATGACATCTGTCTTCTCTGGCTGGCAACTTCCTTGAGTTTCAGCGACTACATTGCTAATGCAACCATGCCCTCAGCGGGCGATGATTTTGAAGGTATATTCATACCCAATATCTCAGATCTGTATTCGGATGAAGATTTACTATAACTTTGACTCTCCCAGATTAACCATAATTTCATCATGATGTACGGATTACTACTGGAAACAGGATTTATGGTTGCTATTACTGTATTTTACTGTTGCAATCGTCTGATTTTTCACGAAAAGTTGACCAAACATATCTGAGTATGAGGTTCGAAAAATGTTGGAAATCTTTGACCATTCCCTTCATTCTCTTTGTCGTCAGGCTATTCCATGGAAAGTTAAAGCGATTCCATATTGAGTGAAACTCATGCTAACTCTTTCATATCGTTTGTGGCACATCACGGGAAGTGATAGAATTACTTACTTCAAATAGCTTACTCCTTACATTTGTACCTTACCCCTTTAGGAATTTTACTTTTCATATTGAATTATTATCCAATTACATAGTCCCGCTTTTCTTTAAGCTAAAAATAAACGGAATGCAGACATCGCCACCAGCATATTAATCAAGACGAATCATGCAAAGTTCGAAATTAAGTAGCTAAAATTGCTCAATTACAAAAATTTCGTTCCACATGTTTCATACATATATGTAAACGCACCTGACGTGCGACATAATGCGTCTTTGTTATTAAATCAATGGTTAAATATGTCATCTGCGCCTGTGGAACTTTCGTCATTTCCAATTTAAATTTTGTCACGGTAAGAGACATGGAAAACCTGAAACATTATCGTACACCTAAGAAGAGTATAGCAATTTTGCATAAAGGGAGTAAAACTGGAGTTAGCGATTTTCGCTCCTTAAACATGACAGTAGAATCTCTTACTACTCTGTTCTTTGAGAAAAATCACTTCTTTTAAGATTCGGAAAGAAACCCTCCCCTCTTTGCCTTCCGCTCTGGAAAAAATTGAGGTTTTGATAATAAAAAAAGAGTCGTTGGCGATATATCTCTCTTATTTTCAGGAAGTAAAAACTATTAACTACATTTTTATTCTCTATGAGCAAATATCACCTATTTTTTATTGCATGCCCCTGAAATTGTCGGATGTCACTCATTGCAAAAGTACTAGCTATCTTGGAAACTTTTTCGAGAAATAACACATTTAATCAACGGATTGAATCACCGTTGAGAAACGAAACGTTGGTTGAAGAGTTGCGATGTCTTAATTTCCTTTCAAATTATTGTTCGCGACCAGTGAAATTGCTCTCCTTACATGTTTGCTGGTAGGAGACAGAATTAAGCAAACAAGGAAATTATTTATGTAAGTACAGTATCACACAAAATAATGTGGCTACCGAAGTCATTGAGATTCTATCTCTCGTGGTATTTTGGATACCCATTTGGAAGTGATTGAAATTCCCCATCATGTTATGATTTCTGGATGGCACTATCATGTTGCTAAATCCACATTTTCTTCCTTTTCATTCTCTCTATCCTGTTTTCCTCTGGTTTCAAAAAGTGCATGTGATGCTACGCGGAATGAATGGGTTTGTGGGGATTTCAGATGGTGCTAATATGACCGTGTCCGGTTGGGGATCAACGCAGGAAGGAGGAGCAATTTCTGACGTCCTTCTAAAGGTGAACGTGGCCATCGTGAATGACACTACTTGCGACCAGGCCTACGCTGATTTCGGAGGCATTGAAGAAAACGCACACATATGCGCCGGCACTATGCCAGAGGGTGGCGCCGATTCTTGCCAGGTACGATATCTCGCCTCAGTTTAGAGACAATCCCCTTTGAAAAAGAAATTAAACTCTTTTGGCAGCGTTTCTGATCTCTGTGTTCTGTGTCAGCGCGAATAATACTTTAAAACTCGCAGGAATTTTACCTCAAAATTCACCTAAATTTTTAATTGAAAGATGAAGAACAAGAAAAACTGTTTCTTCAGCTAAAAAATTTCTTAATCTGATGCAAATAGACCCCATTTGCTTTCATGGAAGATACGAGTTTCGGGGATTTACGTCAAGGAGAAACTATCGACCTATGAATATCGCATTCTTTCATTTCCAAAAAGACAGTCGCTTGAATATTTCCCTTCGTAGGTTTCGAAACAAATATTTTGCTGAAAAACCGGTTTTCCTTTCTACCCTAAAATTGTAATCAACTCAGACTTTTACCGGCAAGAGCCTTGTTTCCACACCAAGGTATGGGCCTGACCTTTTCGAGCCGGATACATTGTCATCTCGAGAAAAATATGCACTTCTTATGAAGAATTTCGATATAAACTCCTTCGGTAAACAAATTAAGGTATAAAGCTGTAAGTACTCTATGAAACGAGATGGCGTGAATGCATTTGCCTTGATGTTGGGATGAAATTGCGTTCCCATATCTATCTTATCAAGGTTTCCCCTTCAATAACTGGCGTTCTTTTTATCAGTGAGAACGGATAAATTCCATCCTTTGGAAATAAGATATATTTTCAAGATGAAAATACTTAGCAAGAATTATTCATACTGAATATTAATTGAAATTACTGAATATTAACGTCGTCGTGATAATCTATGGCATGAAATCATCGTTAACCTCATCCTTCTAGGATAGCGTGAACAGAGCAAGTAGTTCATATTGCGGTTTCAGAAGTAGACTCTTGTGAACGGAATACCAGCGTCAAAATCTAAGGCCCGAATGCACAAGTCTCATTTAGTTAACGTTCCTTTAAGGAGAAAACAGACCGTTTGTTAAAAGCCTCTTTATCTTGGAATGCGCAAACCTCCTTTAACCTTCCGCTAGCTAACGGTCCTTTAACTAAAGGGGCTTTTAGAGAGAGGTGTGGAAAGGTACGTCTTGGCATCACTGTGGATACTGCTCTAGCGTATTTCTTCGTCAAAAGGCGTAATTTGACGGGAAATGAGTCAATACCACGTGGAATGAACACGGATGGGTGAAATTGATTCAGCGCAAGTGGGCTGAAGTGGTAAAACGTGCGTCTTGGCGGAAAAGCGAAGTGAGGACGTTTTCATTTTCCCAAGTTATTACTTGCTT